TGTGGTGCATGGGCTTCATTGCTCTGCATCATGTGGGATCTTCCTGGGCCAGGGCTCGAACCCGTGTCCCCTGCATTGGCAGGAGGATTCTTAACCACTGCGCCACCAGGGAAGCTCCGCTGGACATTTAGGTTGTTTCCATGTCCTGGCTATTGTAAGTCGTGCTGCAATGAACATTGGGGTACATGTGTCCTTTTGAATTATGGTTTTCTCAGGGTATATGCCCAGTAGTGGGATTGCTTGGTCGTATGGTAGTTCTATTTTTAGTTTTTTAAGGAACCTCCATACTGTTCTCCATAGTGGCTGTATCAATTTACATTCTCACCAACAGTGCAAAAGGGTTCCCTTTTCTCCACACCCTTTCCAGCATATGTTGTTCGTAGATTTTTTGATAATGGCCATTCTGACTGGTGTGAGGTGATACCTCACTGTAGTTTTGATTTGCAAAAATATGGACCGCTTCACGAATTTGCATGTCATCCTTGTGCAGGGGCCATACTAATCTTCTCTGTATGGTTCCAATTTTAGTATATGTGCTGCCGAAGTGAGCACCAACTGGTTCCTTAGGATAAATATTTTAAAAAGTGCAACGTCTGTGTCAAAATGCATGCACAGTTATGTTTTTGATAAATATTGTCAGACCACTCCTGGAGAGCTGTATGTGCTAATTTCTACCAGCACTAACGAGCTATGAAAGTGCTTTGCCCACCCCTGGATGGTCCATCTTTTTATTATTTGCCAATAGGTGAAAAAAGAAAACTTTCTTTTCATTTTACTTCCATATATTTTTATGCTGAGGAAGATGGAGAAATATTACCCACATCTCAGGATTTTGTGCATGTGAACTAAAATTGCAATAATAATATAAAAGTACCAGGCAGCTATCACTGTCAAACAGGCATTGGGTGAAGTGAGATCCCTGCCTTATTTCCCTGAATTTTCTCAACACTGTGAGATCACTTCTCAGCTTCAGTTTCCTCGTCTGCAAAATGATGGTACATATCTCAAGAACAGCTGGAAAGTTGATAAAATAATCTGGGTAATGGTTTTAGCATAGGGCAGAGCCCTCTAAAGGCTGGGCGAGGTGGAGCCATTTGCCCCAGACCCCTGTAGCTTGCAAGTGGCTGATGTCAACTTCAAAGAATGAACTGACTCCACCCCTTCCCAGGGCCCCCTGTCCTGTTCAGATTACAGGGCTTCTCTGCCCTTGGCCACCTTTCCCTGAGGAAAGATGAACTCCCCAACAGGAGAATTTTAAAGAGCCAGCTGACGGTCACATGCCACCTCTATCCTTTGACCCACATTCTCAGACCGTCACCAAGTCCCAACTCAGGAGGCATGTGGGACATCACTCCTACCCTTTTACACTTGGGAAAACTGAGGCCCAGAGCGAGAAGGCTCACCCAGAGCCGCTCACCTAACCCCTGCAGGCTGGGATTGATACTGTCGCCTCCTGACCCCCAGCCCAACACCCTTTCCCCGACTCTGCTTCCCTTTGAAACACCCTCGGGAAAACAACTGTGTCTCCTCGTTGCTTCTTGCGCAAAATTCAGATTCCCTGGAAACTTCTACCTAGTTTTTCAGCTTTGCTCCTCCCCCCTGGGTCCAGGCTGGCCCCTGCTCCTCTGGCCCAGGATATCTACTATGAATCTTTAAGCCAAAGTCAAGCAGGCGAACCTTTGTATACATTAAACCCTCTACACTAACTCTCTCCCTTAAGTGCCAATACTGCACAGTCAGATAGAGTAGCCATTGGCTAAACGTGGCTACTTAAAGGAAAATTAAAACTCTGGTTCAATGGCACTAGCCACATTTCAAGTGCTTAATAGCCCCGTATGGCTAGCGGCTTCATCATCATAGAAAGTTTCACTGGACAGCCCTCTCTAGTCTGGAACTTTTGTTAACCCCATTTTATAAATGAAACAATTGCAAGTCAGAGAGATCACGCCCAAGGTCACACAGCTAGAACTGGGATCCAAACCAGTCCTTGGCCACTAGAGACAAACAGCAGAGTAGGTGGGTCAGCCTATCCTCAGATCCAGGGAAGCTGCCATCTTTTTTTTTTTTCGGTATTATTTATTTGGCTCCGTCGGGACTTAGTTGTGGTGTGCAGGTTCTCAGTTGCGGCACGCGGGATCTCTAGTTGTGGCTCTCGGGCCCTAAAGCACGCGGCCTTAGTTGCCTCGCGGCATGTGAGAGCTTAATTCCCTGACCAGGGATCGAACCCGCATCCCCTGCATTGGAAGGCAGATTCTTAACCACTGGACCACCAGGGAAGTCCCAAGCTGCCATCATTTTGTTTCAGAAGACACATGCTGTGAATATATACCGGTCCCACTGTGCTTAACCACTTAAGGACTGTGTGTGTACGTGTGTATCTCTGTTTATTACACACCAGAGGCAGCCCGTATTCTAGTCTGAAAACCTGCATCACAAATACTTCCTCCATCTTTTTCTTTATTTACAAGGGAAGTTTTGCTCATTAGCATAATGAACGGCAGAAACGTTTTATTGGTGAAATCGGGGCTTGTTTTTTTTTTTTTTTTTTGCCATATGTGGGCCTCTCACTGTTGTGGCCTCTCCCGTTGCGGAGCACAGGCTCCGGACGCGCAGGCTCAGCAGCCATGGCTCACGGGCCCAGCCGCTCCGCGGCATGTGGGATCTTCCCGGACCGGGGCACGAACCCGTGTCCCCTGCAACAGCAGGTGGACTCTCAACCACTGCGCCACCAGGGAAGCCCAGGGGCTTGTTAATTAGGCTGATAAAGGTTGGAAAAATGGGCTCCCAGGGGTGGAGTTAACAGTATTCAAATATGTGGATTGGTTAAAATATCTGAGACTCACTAGCTCCCCAATCCTGTATGAACTCGTCGGAAAAACAGAGCTAAAATCTGAAGCTGGTCCTGTGTGAACTTGGAGGATTCAGCTTGCCTGATATACATCGTAAGGTTCACGGGCTTTAGGACAGTCAAGTTGTTTGTTTGTTTTGGTTTTGTTTTAATGGAGAACCCGAGTTGCGTCAGATATGCTCCACGTGAGAGAAACAAGGCTTACCTGGGTCTGCCGGCCTCCAAACACTGCGTGGTCTGAACCTCCACTTTACAACCTGCAGCCCCTGTGCCTGGACCTGGCCCAGGCCAGGGGGCTGCCTCCCACCAAACTATCTGCACCCCCTTCAAGTTCTATCTGCTTGGAAAGGGGCAGGGACAGAGCCCGCTCATTTTCCCCACCCCTCCCCAGACAGATAGCGAGAGAGACACACACCTTGAGAAACAGGATGGGAAAGGAAGCCACATCAGCCAGGAAGATCGGTGAAAGCCTCGGTTTAATTGGAGACAAGATCGAAGGATTGAGTATCGATCAGCAGACCGACTGACTGATCATCAAAGTGGACAACACTTGAGCAGCTCAAGGGAGTACTGACTCTCCCTCCCCCGCCCCCCGGGGTCCCTGTCCCCAGTTGCCAATCACACCTGGCCCTGGGGCCGGGGGAGGGGCAGGCTCTGCGCAGTCCTCCCTCACACCCTCTGATGACAATGACTCGCCGTTCAACAACAGCGCTGAGTCCACACTTCCGGGGTCTATGGT